CTTCCTCCTTCATCCAGCATGCTTTCCTTTCAGTCCACCTTCCCATCCTTTTTCCCAAAAGAAAACATGGAATATTGAAGTAAAACAGGGGCATCGTCATAACGCAACCCACAGTATTACACAATACTCAGTTTATTAATAACTGGCTGCTGAAAAGTATTTCTTTGAGTTCATTAGTCTTCCTAAATCTAAATTAATCGCTCAGCTCTACTTTGGTATTTTGCTATGCTATGTCTTGGTATGAATTTTCATTTGTTAATTTTACTTTATTTCCAGTTGAATATTTATAGAGTGATTTAGATATATATTTTAAGTGTAATCTTTATTTCACTGATTACATTTTCTGAATGCTAATTATCTAGATCATTTCCAATAGTTACTTAACTACTAAAATTCCCATTCTTTTCCTTTACCTTTATGGAGCTCAAAATTGTTTAGTGTGTGTGTGTGTGTGTGTGTGTGTGTGTGTGTGTGTGTGTGTGCATCACTCTTTTCTTAAAGTATTTTCTGCTTCATTTTTACCTTTTCCACATAATTCACTCATTTTAAAAAGATGAATTATACTTGGCATCTCTTTGCAAAGTAGAAATACTAATATGGTTTTCAAAATTCTTACCTATAAAATGAGTTAATATAAGCTTTTGTTTCCAACATGCTTAAAAGTTATTTGTACCATTTAAAGAGGAGAAACTCATAATTTATTATCTTTATTGTTACACAAAAATCTCATTTCAATTAATGATTATTTCTGAGTCTGATTATTATTTCATTGTTCTTTTGAGAAAGTATTCAGAAGATGTTCTTGCTCAAATATAGTCAATACATAGCATCTTATAGATGAACTTGCCCTGTATAAAGAGCTGGTCACAACTTGAAGTGCTGAAACTTTTTAGAATGAACCCAGGTTGGCCCACCTTGCCTTGAATTGTGTTCTAGGAGGAATTTCATTATAATGTAGAAACAATGTATTAGCAATGGCACAATAAAGCTTTTAAAAATAGCTTTAACATATTGTTCCATTGTGTAAGAACTTTTCCTTCCATTAGTCAAAACATCTTGCTCTTCCATGAGCGGTGAAATGTCTATGGATTTTTTAAAATTTTTTATTGAATTTTTGACTCTTTTTTAAGTTGTTAGCCTTAGCTTTTAACGGCTGCACTATCCCTCCAGCCCTTATTGAATTTTTTTATATTTCATACAGAACATCTCAATCAATCTTAATCATCTTTATATCCCCTTCCACACTGGCACCCTCCCATAGCCTCCTTCACTAGAATTCATAATTTGGTCATTTGTGTTAAGGCCTATTGTGTCATGTTAGTGTCCCCAGACATTTCTTAGTACAAATTCATCTACTGAGTCTAGTCAGCTTATCTAAAGTCCCTCACTTTAGGAAGATCAGCTCTTCCTCACCCAATAGTAATCAGTTGCCAATATTTCTTCAACTAAATTGGGGTCTGCTGTCCATTTCCCCAGTTTTCAGGTAAATGGATGGAATTAGAAATTGTTATACTAAGTGAAGTAACACAGACTCAGAAAAACAATGTATGGATTGTTTAAGAACATCAGAAGGTATTATAGGCACCAAAACATCCAATGATATACTATTTTAATATAGTTTCATATGTCTGTTTCAACAGAGTTCAATAATAGAAAAAAAAATAATTTTCTTTCTTCCTATCTATTTTACAAACTTCCAATACCCACATAAAAATTATTATAATTGTTAGGTATATAATGCCTATAATCTCAGCACTTGGGAAGTAGAGAAAGATGGAAAATGCATAACCAGAAATTTTGAGGCTGGACTGGGCTACATGAGACCCTATCAGAGAGAGAGAGACAGAGATAGAGACAGAGAGAGAACAGGCTAAAGCCATGTACTAGAACCATCTTTGGAACCTGTTAGAAATGCAGGGCCAGAGTCTCACACTAAATGTAACTACATTTCTAGAGCAGCTCCTAGAGGGCAGTTAAGACAAACAACCTCCAAAGGTGGTCCTAACACTACCAACTTTGCAAACCACTCCTTTAAAACTCACAAAATATGGAAATTGGATGTTAAGGCTAAAATCTGTCTAGCACAAGTTAAAAACACAGGCACAAAATAAATAGGTATTAGACTTATATATTCTATAGCTTTTCTTTGGGGAAAAAAGGAGGGAGTGGTCTAAAATGGTAAATGGATATATTTGGTTTGAGGTGTTTTAAATATATATGAGGTCTGTCACAGCAATACCCCACTCTCTGGTACCAATTTGTGTTCCAGTTTGTTTCTCCATTGCTGTGACAAAATACTCTGACCAATACCACATAGGGGGGTGGGGCAGTATTTTGTCTTGCAGTTCCCAGGTCACGATTCATCAGGGAACTCAAGGTAGGAACTCAGGGCAGGAATCTGGAGGCAGGAGTTGAAGCGCAGGCCATGAAGGAACATTGCTTACTGGTTTGCTCCCCTGGCCCTTGCTCAGTCTGCTTTCTTATACAATACAGAACAACCTGCCCAGGGCGGCACAGCCCACAGTGGGCTGGGTCCTCCCACATCACTCAACAATCAAGAAAATGTCCCACAGACATGGTCACAGTCCAGTTCAATAGAAGCAAACTGAGGCTCCCTTGACCCAGGTTTGTCAAGTTGACAACTAAAGCTATCCGGCACAGACATATTTTTCTGCTGTTGTCTTTTGTGTTGCTCTTCATCTTCTCTTATTTACATATGCTGTCCTATGAAATATGCTAATTAGATGACATTAGAATGGAAAAGAATGAGGTTCAAAGGGGGTTAAATGAAGCAGACAAGAACAGCAACAGTATAATGACTGATTAATTCTTAAAGAGGTGACCACTTGACATATAATACTTGCTTAGTAAATAGTTGTTTGAATAAATGAACTCATAAAGGAGTAGTGAAAAGTAAAAATTTGCCTTGTCATCTTAAAGTCAAAACTCTTCAAGGTTACGGTGACCAGGTTTGGATAAGATGTTGTAGGTTTTTATATTCCTGACAACACATCATCTAATACAGGCAATAAAACATCAAACATACCCTATCAGCCAATGATTTGCAGAATTTTCCAATGTTTTATTTTGTGTGGCTTTGCTCTAAAGTGTTGCTACACAGTGACTCAAAGGCCAGTGTCATCATCACCTGAGAGCTCATCAGAAATGCTGAATTTGATTTTCTCTGTTCCTCAGAATGTGCCTGTTAGCAACAACCCCAAGAAACAGAAGCCACATTTTTTTATATTTTATTTATTATTCTTATTTTATGTATATGAGTGTATTGCCTACATGCATGTAAGTGCATCCGTGTCATGCAATGCCCATGGAGGTCAGAAGAGGGTGTGGACCCCTTGGAAGTAGAGTTATGAACAGCTGTTAGCCACCACGTGGGTACTTGGAATTGAACCCAAGTCCTCTGCAAGAGCAGCCAGTGCTCCTAACTGTTGAGCCATCTCTCTAGCCCTGAGACCACTTTTTTGTTTTTGTTTTTTTTTGGTCTTTTTGAGACAGGGTCTCCTTGTAGACCCAGCTGTCCTGGAACTCACTATGTAGACCAGGCTGGCCTCAAACTCACAAACATCCACCTGCCTCTGCCTCCCAAGTGCTGGGAATTAAAGGCGTGCACCACCATGCCTGGCCGAGAACACATTTTTAAATGATGGCTAGGTGAACCTATTTCAGAAACCAATTTGTTGTAGGGAATTCAGCCTACTAGCTTTTATATCCTAAACCACTCACTGTTCTTTCATAGAAAATACAATAACCTCATGATTCAGGACTCATATAACTAGAATTAAAAATACTACACATCAGTAAGTACTAAGTTGTAATTAGATAGAAGTCAGTTCTGATGTGGTACTTGGCAGTAGGGAACTAGAAGTAGCAATTATGTACTATGTATCTCAAAAATCAAAAAGAAAGGAATCTAAATGTTTTTGCCATAAAATATGATAAATGAGGCAATGTTTAAACATAATTTAAACATTATGCAATGTATAAAGATATTAAAATGTCACCAGTACACCATTAATATGTATAATTTTATGTTTTTATATATCAGTTAACATAAATTAAAAACACAAATATTCCTGTTAAGAATATTTGGACTATGGTTAAAGAAATAGAGATCATTAACTCTTCCAGGTGTTGCCAATCTTCATGAACAGTTAGGCGAGTCATTAACAGAGATTCTCAACCCAGTGTTTTATTTAACACCTCTGAGAAGCCAATTAAAATTATAACAATATCCCACATCATTTGTCCTAGATCACATGTCATAAGCTCAGAATTCTGAGATTTTGAAGATTCATGGACTCCTAAAATGATGATCTCTAGATGTTCAAATCATAAGTTTAATTCTGTCTCCTACACAGAGCTGGCTTTTTTTTTTAATAGCACAGTTCTTATAACTCTCCCTTCACCATATATTTGACAGATAGATGAATTGGACATTGGGCAAATAACATTGTCACACATCAGAGGCTCTTTGTTTTTTCATACAACTAAATTTACCCACATGCCCATTATTCCATTATTGAAATCTTTATCTATGTAAAATTGGTTTTCTATAGGGCTGGGAATGTGGCTCAGCTGGTAAAGTGCTTGACTAGCATGCCCAAAGCCCAGGGTTTGGTCCCAGCTTGGTGATGCACACCTATAATCTCAACACCTGGGAGGTGGAGGCAGGAGGATCAGAAGTTCAAGGTTATCCTCTGGTTACTTAGTGAGTTCAATACCACACGACCATATAGCTTATCTCAAAATAAAATTGGTTTATGTAAGCCAGGCGGGCATGATGGCACTCGGGAGGCAGAGGCAGGTGGATCTCTGTGAGTTCAAGGCCAGCCTGGTCTACATAGTGAGTTTCAGGACAGGGTGCTACAGGGAGACCTGTCTCAAAAAGACCAAAAAAAAATTTTTTTAATTTAAAAATTGTTTTATGTGAATAATCCATAAAACATGAGAATAATTTTTGCACTGTCCTTTCTTTACCTCAGCTGGCGTGGCAGCAGAAGTTTCTGTGAGGAGCACTAGAAACACAGCTGTTCCCCAGATCCCCACTACTTTTAACACAGTCCCATACAGCCCAGAGCACCTCATTAGGCATACCACAGAGGCCTTCATCAGAAATTCTACAGAGAACTACAGTCAAAACAGCAGTGAGAGACATCTCCCCAATTTGTACACAGCTGGAACTACAGATGTGTCTTGGGCTCCATCGACTACTCGGCCTTTCTCCAGCACCACTGCAGAGGTAAAAGAAGGGAGGGGGTCTTGGCCTGTGAATGGTCTCAGAAAGTTCTTCTCTCAAAAAGACTTGCTTTCTTAAAAGTGTCACTAATGCACTAAGAAATCAGTCGCTTTATGTCTTAACTGCAAATTGAACATGAATGCCTTCGTCACTGAATGAATGCGTATCACTGAAATGTGTGCATTTTGATAAGGTGAAGATAGTTGGGTTTACCATGACATAACTGCACTCTTGCAGGTTGGCTACATTTTTTTAACTAAAGTCAGAGCTCACTGCCTTAAGTATAGCCTAAGATCAGCAAATAGGAATCAAAACCAATACTTTGCAGTTCAGACTTCTTTATGCTCTAAGAGAGAGGCAAGAGTCACAAAGAAATGGCAGATTCAGAGTCACTCTAATTGATTTTGGAGGTCAAAGAGAAGCAGAAGTCATGCCACTTCCTCATCAGTATCCACCATGTGTCACCTACCTATGATCCTGGTAGTCCACGAGGTGACAGATGAGTCAAATGACTAAGAAGCAGGTATGGCTGGTCATAGGCGTCTGCCCAGATCCTCTCTCTGCTTTTAGTGTTCATTTCTTTGGTTTGGCTTTCCTCTCAGAGTTTTGGACCACAGTGTAGACAATATTAATAGAATTACAACAGATTGAAAAAGTTCAAACTTGGAGAACATGGGTGTATTGATGGTAGACCACATGCCTATGTGGGTCAAGCCCTGAGTTAAAACCCTAGCACAGAGAGAGAGAGAGAGAGAGAGAGAGAGAGAGAGAGATTTTCACTTGAAGGTGTTAAGCTTTTTCCTAATTGGCAACCCAAATCATTCAAAGAAAGGAAAAGTTCAACACTATTCCAATGACGGATATCCAGTCAGTCCTCTCCTTTCCTTTGCTGTCTGTGGGTCTCAGCTACTGAGCACATACATCATTATGGGTCACAAAACAAATATAGCCTGAATATTGAACAACTTCTGAGACTATTTTTGTTCCCACTTTTCTCTTACCATAAATCTTCCCTGTGACCCAGTTATTTCCTTGTCTCCAAACAGAAGTTAAGAAGGACCCATCACTTTTTTGGAGACTTTAGATCACTTTCAAGCACAGTACACAATCTCAGCCCATTACTATTAATATCTATTTCTGGAACATAAATTCTAAATCTGATTTTAAAGGTCAGCTTTGCCTCTTTCATTCCTCCACCCAGTTTGAGCTTACAGAAGAGAAAGGGGAATAAATCCAAAGTCTCTCAACCCCTGTCTTGATTTCTACCCACCTCTACGCTCAGTAGCTCATTACGGTTTCAGAGCTGCTTGGGCATGGAAAGTAGGAAAGGAGAACAGGAAATGGGAGCAGGAGCGCCATGATGTCAGGATGCCTCTGTCAACTAGCACTGGGTACTCCCTAACTCTCCAGCTCCTGAGGCCTTTCAACCACTCATGTGAAAGATTTGCCACTTGCTTATGAAAGCGAACGCTTCTTGGTAAATCACCTCCTTATTTTGTCTGCACGTGCCTCAACCAAAACTTCCATTCTAACATTAGTTTAGAAGAGTAATTTACATCTAAACTTAATTATATATAATAACACAGAAAAGATTAAGGCTATCAAATAAGAAACATATTGAATAGAAACTACATAGGAACATATCTTCCTGAATACTAAAGGTTGTCTTTTAGCAAAAAAGATTATTCTCTCCTTCTTGCTCAGGTCTGACATTATGAAACCCAAGTTGGCTGGGCTCTCCTGGAATGTGTTGAGAACACCCAGTTGTGGAGCTCTGTTGCAGATTGCTGGTTGGGCCATCCTAGTCCTACATGACAGAGTTTGCAAAATCAGCCCCCAAGTAGTGCTTGTAGCCTTGGATCATGGCAAACACACTGGCAATCAATTTTTTTAAAGCCCATTTTTAAAATGAAGCCCACAACAGTGTTTTGTAAGCTCTCGATGAGGCACCCAAAATGACTAGTTATCTCATGGGGTTTTTTCTTCCTCAAAGTTCAGGCAAGATCATCTAGTTTATGTCCTGGGAAGCTTGAGTATAAAAGTCTTGCTCTATCCAAAGATAGTGTCTCCAAATGCAGCTTTCCATAATTCTGAACTCTAATCTAGTCATCCCTAGATACTTCATTTAAAGGAGTACTTTATAGCAATTTGTCATAAACAGCTGTAATTACATATTTTGAAAAGAAAAAAGAAGTCATTTGCAATACAAAAGTCATTTCAAGGGATACTCTGGGCAAAGAGCACCAGAACAGAAAAGTACAGTAAAAGTCATTCAGCTTTATTGCTTGCAATTGCATTGAAAACTCTGTTAGTTGTTTTCTTTTTTAATACTTTACTTATTATTTTTATTTTAAGTGTATAAGTGTATTGTCTGCATGTTCGTAGTGCACCTGTGTTATGCAGTGCCCACAGAAGTCAGAAGAGGACCTCAAATTCCCCTGGAACTGGAGTTATGGATGGTTCTTAGCCCATGTGGGTGATGGGAATCAAACCCAGGTCTTCTGCAAGAGCAGCCAGTGCTCTTGACCACTGAGTCATCTCTCCAGATGTTAGTTGGGTTTGTTTTATTATTATTATTATTATTATTATTATTATTATTATTACATAGCACCTAGTTTGTAAAGATTTTGAACTAAGTTATTTTAATTGAACTGTAGGTTGGGTGTTCTGTTATTGAGTAAAGACAAAGTTTTGCAACTGCATATAATTGACTTTATATCTCCAGCACCTGAATATAGTGCTTAAAGTTTTGAGGGAAAGAAAGGAAAGGTTTGGAATGGAGTGGAATTGAAATAATGAAGTAGAGGTGAGGGGAGTGATTGGAAAGAAATGGAATGGAGTGGACTGGAATGAACTGGAGTAGACTGGTGTGGACTAGACTGGAAAGGCTACAGTGGAGTTGGTTGTGTAGGTAGAGCCTCTAACTTGTTTCTTCTGGGCTCACTGTTGCAGCTACATTCAGCTTATAAAATCACCTGGGCTCTGAGATTAACAATCAGCTCACATGCATAACTAGCAATCAGCACTGGCTGTAGGCTGGCCATCTAGGCCACCTCATGATCCCTCATCCTCTGGTAGACAATACCAGCTTCCCTTTCATGATGAGTTAGTCCAGCTTCACAAGAGGCCAAAGGTGAATGAAGGTTGCAAGAGTCTTCAAGAATAGGCTCTGGGATCACACAATGAATGTGACCACTTCTGCCATGTTCTTTTAGTTAACACACACTACAAGCCAGCCCAAATTAAGGGGATGTGGAAATAGACCCCACTTCTTGATGAGAATTGCTCCAAAGTCACCCTGAAAAGGGGCATATATATTTTGGAATAAATCTGTGGTTATTAAACAAGATACCACATCTTATCATCACCCTCACCACCTCCAGAATTATCATCAGCATCAGCATCTCTATTTTAAAGATGCCTACTTGAAATATAAAGAGGTGGGGCTGGAGAGATGGCTCAGCGGTTAATTACACTGGTTGTTCTTGCAGAGGACCCGGGTTCGAATCCCAGCACCCACATGGCAGCTAACAACTGTCCGTAATTCCAGTCCCAAGGGATCTGACAGCCTCTTCTGACCTCCTTGGGCATTGCATGACACAGGTGCACTTACCAGCATGCAGGCAATATATGTATACACATAAAATAAAAATAATAAATTTTAAAAATTAGAAAAAAGAAATATAAAAGGTTAAAACTTACCCTAAGACTCATTCAAATAGGGTATAATAGAGTAAGAATACACACACACACACACACACACACACACACTTGAACTTGTAATCACCATATCTTCTAACATATAGCTAGCACCTCCTAATGAAGACCAATACCAAGAAGGACATGATTTGAGCTCCAGCTGTCACTCTTCTTAATGCTTCTGCAAAATAGTCCTTAGCTGATTCTTTGAGGATGTGGACTCTTTCTTGCCTTTACCATTCTCCTCTTTTTCTCACATCCTTCATTGCCAGTGTGATGTATTTAACTTTGGCATGTTGTATTCTTGGGCTAGGTTTGGTCTTAAACTCTGTGGTTTATACTTACTTGCTTTCTCCCCACCCAAGTCTGGACATTAGATGACTTAGCACACATCATGATGCAGACATAAAGAGTAAAGAAGTGAAGATTCTGGTGTCAAAGAAACCTAGCTTAAGTCCTGGTGGTATCCTTTCCTACTCTGGTTATTCTTGCTTCTTCTTTGTAATAGAGATTTTTATGGGTATTCATCTGCCTTATAACATGGCTGTGAAAATGATAATCTGATTAAAGAAATTTACGTGGTACATTGGCCATACATAAATGCATGTTCAGTAACGTTAGCAATTAGCACTGGCCGGTTTCACAGTATTGAGGAAACCAGATGAGCTAGTGAAAATGTTCTGAAAGGGATAAAATGCTGAACGTGCACCAAAAACATCATTGGCTGGTTCAGATACCACTATCTATAAATCTTGTTTAGAAGGCGCACCTCCTCCTTCCCCTCCCACCCCACCCTTGTGCTGGCTTGGGAGAGTACCAGCATTTCCTCAGTTCATGAATAGCCATTGTGGTGCTGGGCTGAGCATTCACAGTTCTGCATTTCCTTCCAGTTAGCCTTCAAAGAGATCACAGTCCAGAGTGAGTCTCCAAATAAATGAGGCAAATACAGAAAGGCCCCTCACTGTCCCCTAACCCTGCAAGTCTGGGGTAACCTACTTTATTGGGTCATTTAGAGTATTCAGGGGGACACCCTACTGTCAGCGCCACTGTGTAGTCAGACTAAAGATGGACAGCGTCCCCCTTTACTGAGTCCACTGCCTGAAGGAAAAGGAACAAAGATGTTGGAAAAAAAAAAAAAAACTCAAACCATATTCAAAGCACTCCACATGATACTTAGGTCGTCTATTATGCATGGGAAAAAATATAATAGACTTAAGAGACTGTTGAGATTTTCAAAGATTTATTTTTATTATTTTTGCTTGTGTGTATGTGTGTGAAAAGAAAGTATGTGAGTGCAGGTACCC